TCGTGTTGTGTTGTTGATTTGAGGATGTTTCGATTGGTATAGTTCATTCCAGTTAGTTGTGTTGTAGGTGATCGTTGAGAATTGTGAAAGTTTTAAGTGAACATTGTAATTAGCAAACTGATCAGTGTGTGATTTTCAGTGTTCCTCACGTCGGCGATTCTGGAGCTGCACCTCAGTCAACACCATCAAACACTACATCGAGCACAACAGGAGCAGCAACGGTTGCTGCTGATTCAAGCGGTACACACGAGGCTGCAGCGGCGGCTAGCTCCTCATCGAAACCTGGACCAAGTGGTGTGGTGAGCAGTGGAACAAACTTAATAAACGGTGGTCCTGTTTTGACGCCTCCAAAGAAAACGTCCGCTCCTAACACGACGACTGCAGCAAATCCATTTGAAGCACTATCTGCAACATCGTCAGCATCATCATCCGGAATGACCAAAAGAGCCGGTTCACAGCATGACAACCCATCGAATAGCGTCTCGAAAACGTCCTCGACAGATTCCGTCCCGTCTCCAGCATCATCGTTGCTCTCAGAACCCGATATGTCGGATCTGCGTCAAAGGAGACTCCAAAAATTCGCACATTCAACATCGTCTAATTCCGATGTTGCTGCCACACAGCCACGTCGCTATCCCGGCCACGAAGAGCACTAAAGCGTTTGAGACGTAATAACTAATAACCAAGAGCAGAATTTATTCGTGGTGGTAAACGAATCGAATGCAGCGTGTTATTGAGCTGAGAAGGGCTGTCTCTTGATAAAGGATGAAAAGGGAATTGCGAAACAGAAAAGTGTGATGATTTGAATAAATTATAGTGTTTAAGAATTTATTAACTCAAGGCAGCACCTTTCGTTGCGGAATCAGACAAGATTTTAGTTTGTTTCTTGAACTAATTGGGGGAATAATCATTGGATTAATTGAAGTTTGATTGATTTGTTTCGTTTCGTTGTTTATTTGCTTAATTGTTTTGTTGATTAATGAAGACTTGGTAAAGAATTTATCTCATCAGTTCAGTAGTTGTTTTTGTTTGGAAACAGTCATCAATTATGATTTCAATCGACCATATGTTCAGTGGTTTATGTTTGTTATTCTATTGTGTGTTGTGCCTTCGGCAATTTCGTCATTTTTATGTTATATCTATCCGAATTTGTATGGATTTTTTGAGAGAAAAGAGGCTTGTTTATTGAAATTTCTTTGCCGTTGAATTTTAATTCGATCCGTTTTCACTGAAACAAGTTGTTCGTTTTCTCCGATAGGTAACGCTTTTTTTGCGTTTTCATTGTTTGTTTTCCTTTGTTTGCTTGATTGTTTTCTTTCTTCTTTTTTGGCTTTTCCATTGATCCAAATGAAATTTTGTGTAGAATTTTGACATCTATCGTAATTTATCGTCCGTATTTTTGTTACTGTTTTTCTCTCATGTCATGTTGATAATGACTTTGAGTGTTTTTTGTACGTTTGTGTGCACTCGTCTGTAGTGCACTTAATTTATTATGATTTGATTCTCCGATTGATTTCTTCGATGCTTTCAGTTGAAAGTTAACATGAAATTGATTAATATGGTCGTCGTTGTCACTGATATTGTGTTCGTTGTGTTACCATCGTTATTGTGATCAAGCAGTCTTATCGTCTTATTGTCAACCGAATTAAAGTTATCGCCTGGCCGTTGTTTGCTTTTGATCGTCATGAAAAGAGTTTTTTTGGTGTTTCCCAGAACTGGCAGAATGTC